ACCGTGAGTGTACCAGTAACTCTGTCAATTCAGCTGCAATAGCCACTGTTCGACTACTTTGGCCGCAGTAGACAAATATTGCAGAACTAAATAAGTTTTACAAAAAAATGCTAGGCAAATGCAAAGTACCCTTGTACAACCAGTTGATGCAGTTTCAACACAAAAAAGTGAGTTTAGGGGTGAGTTACACTTTAAGGTTATCAAACTAGTCTTGCATCAGAAGCTGTTTCTTTCACTACATTTAAAAAAACAAAAACAAAGGATGAAATTTCATAGTAAACGAGTTGCATTTTCTAATGAGAAATAAAACATGTAAAAGATTCTTTGTGGTGTTCTGGCAACTTTGACTTTTGTATTCAACATTGCTCTTCGACAGGATATAATGATTCACAGAATCAGTGAAGGATGTGGATGCCTGCTCTATCTGAACCTGTCTTCCACACTAGTAACAAACCTCTCTTTGGAGGCAATATTCAGGTAAATCTTATAGGGAATTATTTAAACAATTAATAATAATACATTCCTTAATTTCCGGAGGGAGTCTTCCCAAGGGATCAATAAAGTTCTGTCTAAATAAAACACTAGTAAAACTGTATTAACTATCACACTACATCATGTCTTGTTTTTGTTACATAGAGAATAGTCTTTACTACCACATTACCATAACAAGAACAGAAAAGTATTTTTTTTTCTCTACTAGGAATTGTCCAAACCTTCAGTACCTGAGTCTGGCGTATTGTCGCAGATTCACAGACGAAGGATTCCTGTACCTGAGCACAGGCAAAGGCGCTCCGAATCTCATCCACCTCAACCTATCCGAATGCACTCAGGTTTTTCTTTTCAGTCCTTTTGCCTTGGTTTGTATTCATTATAATTTACTCCTTGAGTCAGTTTCGAACAAATGCATCCGCTCTTCTGGTTGCACGCATCTGTTTTTTTTTCTGTCTTTACTCTGGGGTGCCTCAGAGTGAATGTGGGAAGGTTTCACAGTCTTGGAGAGTTAAAAACATCTGAGGCCAATAGAGGGGTTGGGTTAACATCCACCCTCTCACTTTGTACACTGTGTAACATAGCACTGCTTTAGGGGTGAGAGTAGTTGTGGTCCAGATGTTTAGTTTGTCTTTATCAGCTCATAAGAATGCAAATAATGATTAAAAAAGACAGATGAAAACACAGAGCCAGAGACTCCTCCTTATTTTCCTCCAGATGACAGTGAATGGGTTCAGATACATTTCAGCAGGATGCCCATCTCTGAGAGAGATTGTGATCAATGACATGCCAACTCTGTCAGACTCCTGTGTTTTGGTAAGTGTTTATTTCCACAACATGTAAAATACAAAGTCAACAGAATGTTATGGAGCATCAAACCAAAACTAAAACAACACGCTTCGTTATTAAGTATTCATACCTCCTTTAACCTTTTTAACTGTTTTCAAATCTGTCACATAGACCATAACTTGTGTGTTTGTGTAAAGCTCAAGCTCAGTCTTCTGGCCACAGCCAGGTGTTTCACATGTGTTTGTCTTCTACATGGCATATTTCTGCCAAAGACGGCATGAATCTCTTTATAGCTTTTTAAAATCTCTGCTCTCATTACCCCGTCTGTCAGTTTAAGGGGAAAACCATGTTCTGTGTAGGTTTGTAGTTGTGATATACTCTCTTCTTTATCACATGGTTCATTGAAAAGTTCTCTGTCAGAAAGTCAAAATATTTATGAACTGACCCTTGAATTTTTCCATTTCATCCCGGACCTTTTTGTGTTTCTTGGTCTTTGTGACTGTGTGTGTTCACAGAGTTTTTCTAAATATCAATGATACCTTCAGGTAACACCTATATGTATAATAAAAAGCTATATAGTGCAGGGTTTTTGCACAGTTTTTTAAAACACCTGTGTATGTGCATGTAAAAAAAAAAAGAAAAAATGCACCTACACAACCCTGTACCGGCTCCCGAGAGGGAACGCCTATTAAACGTGCGCGAGAACATGCACAAACTCATTTCTCCTCAAGCACGCTCTGTTTAAAAGTTGCTGTTTGCATCATTCATACAAGCTTACTTTCCAGAAGAAGATTTGCAATTTTTCCACTACGTCAGACTCACCACCGGTGTTATGCCGAGAAACACCTGCCTGCCGAGAATTTCCTACCATGTTGTGGGAGCGTTAATCACCCTAAACTCTTGCACATTGTTGAGAAAATGGATTGAAATATGAACAAAATGGGAACTTTTAAACATATTCTTAATGTTTTGTCAGAAATTATATAGAATGGTGTTAAGGGCAAAAGCAGGAAATGCTATCCACTGAGCAGAGAATAAATTCATTGAACACTGACTGTAGCACATTGGCTAAAACATTTCTTCATAAAAAATGTACTAATTTGAATTTATCTGTCTACCAGAACTCTCCATTTTAGGGCATCCATGCATAAGAAATATGAAAACAATAACGATAAGTTTAAAACTTCCCTTTTCATTGTTATTTCAATCCGTTTTCTCATCAGTATGTGAGAGGGGAAGTAATTCTCGGCAGAACAGTCATAAGTAGAAATGGGGACGATTAGTAGGACGGCATAAGGATTGATAATTAAGAGGACCAATTATTTTGATGATCCACCCGGAAAAAGAACATCTTCTACTATACAATGTTAATTTTATTTCAGAGTTTTAGAGTAAATGAGGCCGAATACCAAACGAATGCTGCATTTTACCTTTTCTTTATACTTTAAAAACCACGTCTTATTTGTTTTCCACATCACAATGGTGTAATACTTTGTGTTGATCATGGAAACTGCATCAAATTTCAGTCTGTAATGTAATGAATAAATCAAGGGTGTGTATGTTTTTGCAAAGCGAAGTACAAGTGAAATAATATTGCACCCTTTCTTTTGTTGAACAGGCCCTGCTTACCAGATGTTACTCTCTCTCTTCCATCTCACTCCTGGGCTGTTCTCATCTTTCTGATGTTGCTTTTAAAGCCATTGTGGACACAGCCAATCTAAAGGCTTTCATCATAGAGGGTGAGACCTTTTTTCATTCTGCAACCTTTCCCTTCCCTCATCATGCATGGAAATTAAGCACTGGTTCAGGTCTTTGTTAATTTGTGCTTAGGCAACAACCAAATAAGTGATGTCAGCTGGAAAGTACTGTGCAGCCACTCACAAGGTCTTCTTAGACTCCACGCCGCAGACTGTCTGGGAATGACGGATAATAGCCTGAGATATGTGGCCAGCCTCAAAAACCTAAAATATCTGGACATTTCCCTTAGCAGCAGGTAGGTCGGGGGTTGTGTTGGCTTAATTTGCATCACTGCTTCATATTTCATACTTTCAAGAATCTGTTTCAGTGTGAGTGATGCTGGAATCAAGTGCCTGACTGACAAGGCCTCAACAAATCAACTGCATTACCTCTGCATCAGTCAGTGCTGCCTCATTACAGATGTCTCTGTCAGGAGGATTGCTCAAAGGTACTTCTCTTTATCAGCCTAATAATTTTCACACAGAGCTATCAAAACGTATATAAAAAGATAAGCTGTAGCATTCTTGTGTTTGGAAAAAATGTAGGTATCCTAAACTGTACCATCTTAATCTGAGTTACTGTGAGAGGCTGACGGATGCGGCTGTGAAGTGGCTGAGTGGAAGCTCCATCTGCTCTCTTGACATAAGTGGCTGCAACATCCAGGATCAGGTACTGATGCATATTGCTAGCTTCTATTCTCACTTACAACAGTGTTTGCATTTTCAGGGACTCACTGGGCTTCAGGGGACCCTTCTAAAGAAGGTTGTACTTGCCGAGTGCTTAGAGATCACAGATATTGGCATTGAGGTACACATTTTTCCCCATATGGCCAGCTGTTGGTGGTTCTAGTCATCTTTGAAACATATGTGATAGGAAATATATAAATCAATCCTCTTCAGATTTTTTTCTTTTCATGTATTCATTTAAAATGTATTGCTCTAAAGATAGCTTTTAGTCATATTTTTTGTTTACATTTTGGACAGGCGATGTGCAAGAATGCAAGAGGCTTGGAGCACATCGACGTCTCTTACTGTGCAGCTTTGACTGATGCCGCCATCAGAGCCGCTTCATTTTACTGCAGATGTCTGCTCACTCTGAAGATGTCAGGGTGTCCAAAGGTTCGGATTGTATATATTTAAGTAATTAAGTTTCTTTTGTTTTTGCTTATTTGTTAAATTTCATTTTTCTGATTAGAAATGTTCGATTAAATATGAACTATTTAACATGGTTAAGATATTTCCACAGTGTCTCATTTCGATTTAAATCTGAACCCTGAATATGGCCAAATGTGGATTTGTTGATGTGCTTTGCAGAACCTAAAACTGTTTAACCCCAAGTTTGTGAACATAAAGGCTGGGCAATATCCTCCAGGAGTTTCAAGATGAGAGAGCAGAAATTTGTGTTTTCATAAAGTACAAGTTTTCCAGGTCCTGAAAAAGCAAAGCATTTCCAGACTTTCAATCTCTTCTCACCATGTTCGATTGTGCTGTTTTACTAAAATGTTATTATAAAAGAGTTTAAAAAAAAAGTTTACCTTTTAAAAACTTTCCCTCTTTCTTGTCAGCCCAATGTCATAAATTAATCAGTACCCCATGAAGATGGTAAGTATGCTTTATAGTCAGCCATTTTTGTCCTAGTTCCATTTTTGAGTAGTTTCTCTTCCTGATGAACCATGAAAATCATCAGATGCCATACAGGCTTCTGATTATGTGGGATCTGTGACATTCTGAATTGAACCCTTATAATTACAGTTTAGAAAAAAACAGCTTCAAGTTAAAATGTGTTAATTCAATTTGCAGTGCCTTGCTAGAGTATTGTGGCCTGACGTAGTCCGACTCAATTCTAGTCAGAATATGAGTCTGATACTGCTCCATAGAGCTGTGATTATGGGGCGTGTTTCGAACGAACCAGGAAAAAAAATGCCTCTGCACTCAATTGGATAGACCTACAACCAATAGAGGGATTATCAGGAAACGTCACTCTACGTCACTTCCGGCACCAATGCGCATGTCGCCTGCAGAAAGAGCCGCTAACATGTCTTGTTGTGCTGTCGGTTGCACGAACCGTTTTGATAAAAACAATAAAACGCGCAAGTTTTACCGAATCCCATCAACTCGCACCCCTTTCAAGGCAAACAAGAGACGTCTTTGGTTGCAAGCCATCAGAAGAAGCGATTGGAACGAGCAGATGATTAAAAATGCATCAATCTGCAGCGATCACTTTATATCAGGTAAGTCTTATCTATAAAAAAGCTAAACGGCATCGCTGGTTTTACAAACAATGGTTTTACATACAATTATTAAGTATTACATATATAAACGGGATTAATGAATCGTACAAAACACATTGGAGCATAACTAGCATACAAGCTAATGTACCTTGATTCAGTCTTATCAAGTTGCAACTCATCGGGTCAGCCATAAGTTTTATCATTAACATCATCAGGTTGTCTGGTCTAAACTTCTCTGTGTGTGCTGTCTTTTCAATTGATTGACTAGTGTCTGTAATAAAGGTTGATGATGATGATGATGATGATTGCGTCAATACATTATTTGTACAGGAGAGGCATCAGACGACATCGACAGCCCAGACTTTGTCCCGTCTATCTTTCCATACTCAATCCAGCCCGGCAAAGACGGTGTTGCAAAACTGGAGCGGTAAGTATCACATCTGTGTGCTTGATTGTTGTCTGATTACAAGCATGACTCCACATAGTATGACTGGAAGTGCAAAGAAAAAATATTGATATATTGTAGCTATATAGGTTACCCCGGTTAAAGGTCAGAGCATGTAGTTTTTATTAGACATCTCATATGGAGAGTTGGGATGACTTAGCATGTGATTTGCATGGACTTGAATTTAGGAGATAACACCTGTGGAACTGTTTTGTTTTTTGGGGGTTTTTTTGCACTAAATGATTGTTCTCTCCTGTGTGTTTCAGATATAAGAGAAAAAGAAGAAGGGATGCAACCCCCAGCAGGTGTCCAGAAGATGGACATCAGTGTACACCCTCTTCCATCTCTCCAACTGAGTGTGGAATAGAGGCTGGTGCTGATCTATATAATGGTATGAAACCTTATTACTAACCTGACCAAGACGGCCTGCAAACTCATTTGGATTTTTATAAAGGGACGTAGATCTGTGTGTTCCTAAATGTTAACATATTAATTATTTTTTAAATTTTTAAATTTTATTTCAGTTTAACATGGGAACAAAGTCAGAATTCTGAGATTAAAGTCAGAATTCTTACTTTAATCACAGAATTCTGACTTTTTTCTCAGAATTCTGACTTTATTCTCAGAATTCTGACTTTATTCTCAGAATTCTGACTTTTTTCCCATACTATACGGAAATAAAAAAAAACAAAACAGTTAACTTTTTTTTTTCCAGTGGCCCTTATCCTCTTCCGTACTAGTGTGATTAATCAGTTAGTAATGTTCATATCTGTTGCGAACAGGTATTTGCCCACAGTGTGACTGATCACCCAGAATGTAACCATTTGTTTTTTGTAAAGATAAGAATGTAAAATTTGTATTTATTTTTCAGAAGGTATGGTCCCAAAGACTGTCCATGATGACCTCCAGCTGAAGTACAGCCAACTTCATACAGAGTGTGATAACCTGCGTGAGGACATCAACAAACTGAAAACAGAGAATGAACAATAAAAAGAAATGCTCGGGACTGCACAGTTCTCTTTTGCGTCACTGCAGTGTAAAGCAGCACAGGTGCTGTTTTTCACAGGTCTAACCAGTGCCCTCTTTAATTGGGTCCTGCAGACGATTAAGGACAGTGTTGAGGTCATCCGTGGCTCTCTGACCCTAGAGGATCATCTTTTGGCTGTACTCATGAAACTCAGATTAGGACTCACCAACAAGGATATTGCATTCAGATTTAATGTTAACGAATGTGACATCTCTAAAATCTAAAGAAGTTGGCTGCCTATTATGTCTCAGATTTTGAAACCTTTAATCAAGTGGCCAAGTAAGCATGCTATATTAAAGAATATGCAAAAATGTTTCAAACCTAAATACCAGCGTTGCAGGTACATTATTGACTGCACAGAAATTTTTATTAACAGACCAACAAATTTAACAGCCAGAGCCCAAACATATTCAAATTATAAGAGCCATAACACGGTTAAGTATTTGGTTGGCATGTCACCTGCAGGAGCAATTACATTTCTGTCTGCAGGTTGGGGTGGGCGTGTTTCTGATAAACAACTTACAGCCGAGTCTGGATTTTATGACCTTCTACAAGTAAATGATGAGATACTAGCAGATCGTGGTTTTACCATTAGAGATGAGCTTGCCTTGCGTGGTGCTACCCTGAGGATCCCTCACTTTACCAAAGGTAAAAAGCAGTTGTCTGCTCAAGAGGTGGAAACATCGAGGCGTTTGTCCAATGTTAAAATACACATTGAAAGAATAATAGGGAGATGGAAAACTTTCCGAATTCTTACTACTGTTATTCCTTTATCACAGGCGGACCTGTTAGATGACATTGTAATTGTTTGTGCAGCAGTGACAAACATTTGCAAATGCATAGTCCCTAGAAAATAAATTAAAAGCCCTTAATTGAATTGTGCCAAAATTAAGGCCTTAATGTTGTTAACATCTATGAATTGAGGTTTAAATGTCATTAAATATTATTTTTTGAAAGAAATGATTGCCTAAGTATTTTCACTGCATAAGCTCATTGAACATTCAAAAGCTGTGGTTTAAAACATTTTGCAGCAGTTTTGGTTCAAAATGTGTGTTGTATCCAGTTTGCTTTTGAATATTGAGATTTTTCCTCATTCCTCTGTTGTATGATATATTTCAAAATCTTAAATGAAATATGCAGATATTTTGCTTTGTGTTTTGCCATTGAAAATAAAACAATTCAATCAGCTGATACGTGTGTAAACCCTGTGTAAATATTAATAAAGTATTCAAGAGTCAAGGAAACATTGAAATATATTTATTCTTGTGCATGTAACCAATAATAAAAATAACAATATTAAACATTCTTGTCATAAGATGCACACTGAGAACCTTAGTGCATACTTTGAATGGTAAGCACAGGTACAGTTACAACTCTATGTTTCAGAGTGCATTTTTTCTAGTTTTTCTGTTTTTTGCACTGATCACAATACCATTCTTTAGCCTTTCTTTTTACTTTTGCACATTCGTAGTGGAAATGCCTATTGCACTTTGCACAAGTGGGAATGAATGTCCAGCCACTGAATTTTGGGCCATTTTTTCTCGTCATTTATCTACTCACCGGCATGTAACGCGTATGGGTCATTAAGACGTATTGCATTAACTAGTGTTAATTTAGCAGCATAACTTATTTTATCACTAGGTGATAAACTGTTGTAGTACGCTGACAACATCGCTAGCTAGCAGATCGCAACTGCTAAATAACCGCATATAATCACAACATTCAACCAGACGCTTTAAAGGACCCGGCACTTTTTGCAGTCAAGATGCGCGCGCATCCGCCGTGTTGATAAACAAATAATCCCTCTATAAGAGCAACGGAGTGCGTGACGTATGTTAAGCGAGGCATAGTTGTTGTCCACAAAAATCAAAGCGTGCAGTTTCACGCCTAGAATAAGAAGATGAGACTTGATCGCGTTTCTCTGTTCCTCTTTTAAAATTAATTTCCTGTCGATATCTTCTAGAACAGACCTAATCGGTCTTTGTCAGACACGTGACTGACACGCCCCCTAGCGCCATTTTTGTGGTGAGCGAAAGAAAAACAAAACAGCAGAAAACAAGAGGAGAGCGCTGCCAGCAGTGAGGATTATCAGTTAAATGGAAAAGAACAAGAAAACTGAACGGATACCCTACCCAGACAAACTTTCTAAAGCTGCTAGGGAACGATATTATATATTATTATTACAGTGACAAGGCAGATGTTGTGGGCAGTTGCACAGATAGCTGCAGTTATTAGAGTAGATTGTGCTGCTCATCAGACTGAACGAAAAAACTTGTCATAATTTTTGCACATTGATAAGTTGCACACTGTATTTGCTGTTCACTTTATCCAGGCCTGTTTTCACTGGGATCTGCAGTCTTCTTCACAGATATCACCTGTTAGGTAATATCTCTACGGAAGACCACAGACCACAGTGAAAACAAGTCCAGGGAAAATGAAAATCTTCTAATTTAATCTAAAGAGCAATCTGCTATATACGAGGGAGGAAGACAAAGTAAAACATTTGAAGCTTTGCACTGTTCTGCATTATTTATGTATTTGAGGTTTTGTATTGCATTTTCATAAATTCTCTGCTTGATTGAAAAGATAATAACAACACTTGTTTCAAATTTCAAATCCACTCTTTATTGTACACACATTTTTACAACCTCAGAAACATTGTTAATATTTGAAGTGATGGTGAAACTTATATTTGTTTTGCTGTTATTTTTCAAAAGTAACTTTAAAAAAAGCAAAATTCTATTTGTGTGAAAAGAAGAATAAAAAAGAAGAAGAAAGTTGAAACAGTACTTGATCTGGCATTCATTTATTAGCTGGTTTCTCTGTGAAAATTTCAAAACAGTCGATAATCACTGTGACTCTATGTCCAAAGGCATCCACAAACTGATGAGGCATAATTTTGTGCAAGGTGTCTCTATCTGGCCACACAATTGCACGCTTTAGATTTGCATATAAAAATGACAGCATTTCATTGAATGTTCTGTACACTGTCTTTGGTGAAACACAGAAGAGATAAGCAAGGTGTTTTGAGGGCAGATCCAATCTCAGACGCATGAAGGTTAACAGAAGCATTTGAAATGGACTGAGAATTTTATTTTGAGCAGACATGAGAGGCAGCAGAAAATTAAACAAAGCCATAAAGGTTGCCAAGTTTGGTAGACCCGTATAGTACTTGACTTTTTCATTACTGTCTCCAAAGAAGCCATCAGAGATCCGCAGCTCATCAAGTTCACGCCGCAGCTCTCTGTTTTCTTCCAAAAGACGGTTCATCTCTGCACACCTGAGCACACACAGGTTACATTCTGTCTGTCCTTCCTGACGACCACCTTCTGTGTCATCCTTGGTGTTTGGCCGGCCAACGTTTTCAGCAGCCTTCTGCGTGTCAGTCTGTTGCTGGTTAGGGTTCTCTGTCGCCTCATGTGTAACTTCATCCTGTCGCTGAAGGATTTTATCAGCCTGATGGAGCCCCGTTTCAGTTGCTTGCAGGGCATTCTTTTTCAGCTGTTCCCGATAACCACGTCTTAAAGAGCGGTCTGTGTCTGTTGGTTTGATGTCAGTGTGGCCCAGATGCAGGGATGGAGCCCAGCCTGGGTCAGTTTCCATCATCTCATATGCGGGTTGACCTGCAAAGTAGATGAAAGGTTGAGTGTTTTACACATCTATTCAAAACACTATATAAAGCACCTTAATAACAGAGCCCATTAGATTATATGAGTTATAAAATAAGATATGCTTATGTTTCCCACAGTGGGGAAATTTGCTATTTGAAACAGCACAAGTACATCGGACTAGTAAGGCCAGAGGTAAATAAATAAACTGAAAAGCTTACAGGACGAACAAAGGATTATAATAAATAAACTTAAGTAGATTGCACAGGATGAATAAATGCAGTGAGTTGGCTGACGAGTGGGTATGTACAGTGTTTTTATATGTACACTGACACACTAATACTATATATTTATTCATAAAAAATATATATTTGTATTGCAGATTGTGTAAATGATTATATACAGATAATGCATTATTTATTAAATTTTAGCGGTCTAAAAAAGAAATAAAACAAACATCACTTTCCGCTTCTCTTCCACAGCATGTTTCAGTAGGTTTACTTGAACTCCTGCAACTTTATAAGCAAACCATTTCAGCGTCTTGATTTCTATTAGTGTATATTTATAAGGACTTACCTTTGTGAAAATGCCGAGAGCAAACACGAGCATGAGGAGATATTTTATGAAACGTGATGTCTTTCCTTCTTACAGCAGCGACCCACGGAGCCCGACACCTCTTTGTTAAGTCCTCTGTCTGCGGTCCGTATTTTTTTCCCAAGTGGGGAATACGAAAAACCGTACGGCCCCATCTGCTGTTTTCTGTTTAGAATTACTATTGCATCCTTTGACGCAGCACCAGTGTCCCATTATTTCCAAAGAAGCAACTAGAACACGTCTGCTCTCTGTTAGTTTTCTTTTGTTTGTTGCTGCTGTCTCTTCCCCACAGAAATGGCGCTAACTACCCTAAATGAATTGCGCTTTTGCGGAAGTGACGTACACTGTCACAGACCGATAGCAGAATCTACTCACCCAGGCTGCGTCTCAATTCCCAAACTCTCCAGCGGCAGCCATTATTGTTGTCACCCTAGCGCGCTTTGGTCACGTGGTTGATTACGTTACTGTTGATCATCTGTCCATCATCGTATAAAGCCCGCCCTGACAATTTGATTGGATCGCCTGACAGTGGGCGATAATACTCGCGCTACTATGGAGCAGAGCCAGACCGAACTTCCCCGAACTCAAACCTTGTGGGCGGGACTAAGTTCTGACTGGCACCCAGGCTAAGAGTATTGTAATGTAAATGTAAATTATTGTCCTACAGTGGGGAAATTCACTCTCTGCATTTAACCCATCCCCTTGGAGAGCAGTGGACTGCCATTGTGCGGCCCCCGGGGAGCAGTCTGGGGTTAAGGGTCTTGCTCAGGGATCCAGAGTGGCAGTCTTGTGGGAATGAGTGGAACATGAACTCAGAACCTACAGGACCCAAGCTCAGTGCTCTGACCACTAAGCCATCAAAAAATATGACATTTTAAATACTTTTGTGACAAATCAACAAAAAATGAAGTGGAACTAAATTTCCTATTTACTATTTAATCCATCCATCCATCCTTTTATCCTCCCTTACTTCCTTGCTCGCTTGCGGACCCAGAGTTGCAGTCTGTGGGTCCATCCTCTGAGCTAAAAAACTAGGTCGTCTGCAGGTGTGTCACAGTTAACGTAGATATGCCCCCCCTTCCACAGACACTCTGGTGCACCTCCCCAAAATTTTAGGTGACATCAGACAGTGCCGCAGATAGCTTCACAGGGGGGAAAAAAAAGAAGACCTCTGATTGGTCAATTCTACATCCGCTCTATACTATGTGTATTTTCTGTTTGGTACCTAACGGCAGAAACTCTGGCTGTAGTACCATCCACAATACCTGGCACACCTCGGACACTATCCCAGACACCGTACAGGACGGTGTAGATGGCAAACAAGCTGGTCATACCGAGACACGGACACCCACAATCCTAGCTAGTTCATGATTGTCCCTCTTGCTTTGTGGTATGGCACAGACCACACTACAAAATTGGGCATAAAGCTAAAATTATCTGTGTCATACCTGCAACAAGCTTACTGCAACACACACTGCTGCGGGCGTATACACAGCCCTTTACCAGGGAGGCTTAAGAGTGTGATTCTCCCGAAGTTGGAACACACCCTCCAGTCCCCTTTTTTAAATAGCTGCTTTCCACTTCCAGGAAATCATCATTTGAGTGTCTACTTGAGTTATCTTTGCTATTATAACTAGTTTGATCTGAATGTTTTGGGGGAGCAAAAGCAAAGTTACTCTGGAAGGGGCAGTTACTTTTTCAGCCTACTCCACATGCTCACTAAATATTAGATATAATTTTACTTAAGACAAAATTTTACAAAAGTCACATATTTTATTTATTCTCAGGTTACGGATATGGCAGTGCAGTTTCTGACCAGTGGGTCCCTGTACCTACAAGAACTCGACATAAGTGGCTGCATTCTCCTCACTGATCGCTCTATTCGATACTTAAAAAAAATCTGTCCTCCATTGACCTCCATCAGAATGAACTTCTGCAGCAGCATCTCATGGTACATCGAAGGTTAAAACTCATGTAGTGTACAATCTATACAGGAGCTTTTCAAACACTAAATTATATTTTTTGTATCCTCAGGGCAGCTGCCTTGAAGCTGCAGACATGCGTATCACACTGGGAGTACAGCAAGGACAGCCCCCCATTTGGTTTGAGCAAAACGCAAACAAGAAGCAATGAATTCTAAGGCAGCTTATACATGGAAGGCTGAGGAGATACATTCTGCAATGAAGTAAAAGGCTTATACATCTACAGAGATCTAAATGGCTCAAAATCCAATGTAAAAGAAAAACCTGACTGATTATTTTTTAAGCAGAGGTCTCAAACTAGTCCTCAAGGGTCACCATCCTGTTACTTCTTTAGATACATACTTAGACCAACCCACTCAAAGAGGATGCCCAAACTGCTTCATTAAAAGAAAACCAAGCTCCTTCAAGAGTCCTGCAAATTACATTTTTTACTGATTTGGGTGTAGAGAAGGAGAGCTGCAACTAACAGCTGCAGAACATCAGCCCTAGAGGACTGGAGTTTAGGGCCCCACGGCTTTTTTAACTTTTCACAACCTCTTTAAAAACTTTGTCACTGGAGCCTGCAAAGGTAGTTCAGCCATATTGTTTCTTTTCAGAATGGTTTATGGACCTATTCACAAACTTAATTTATTGTCTTTCAGAGAAACTGATTACTGATTTAAATAAGGAAAAACATGTATTAATGCTATTTAACAGTGTATGGCAACAATTAAATCAGTATACCATGTACCACACTCACCGATTGAGCTTAAGTATTAATGCTGCAATAAAAAGACCTTTGTTGTATTTATTTTAAAGTAGTTGATTTGGTGAAAATTTATTTTATTTACAGTTGTTTGAAGTTTTTTTCCCCCCTTCCTTTGCTAAATATTTAAACTAGTTTTTACATCTGAGATAATTTCATTACAAAATAATATTTATTTGGGCTCTTTATATGTCCTTGCAGGGATTTCAACAACTGTGCATTGGAGGCTAAGGTTATAATACAAGAGCAAAGTGCTCTTTGTAAAAGAAATTATGAAATAAATTTTTTTTCTAAAACTGTAACTGGTTCTTTAAGACTTGATGATTATAAAAAGGAGTTTGACATCCTGTAACGTATTGTGACTCTATAACACACAGAGTTTCCACACAAATAACAAGAGAAAGCCGTTTAACATTTATTATGTGTGGGACCTTAACTCCACTAAGGTGACATTACACATAAAAATTCAACAGATGCTTTAAATAAAAATTAATTTTTCTGAGCTATTTACAGTGCAGTGTGGATAACATTTAGCTGAAAGCGCTGTAATAATAACTGTAGCGTCCTCAGAACATTACGATACATCCTGTCACTTAGCTCCCGAGCTTCAGGGACTCAAACCAGCTCTGTGTCGTCAGTTTGATGGAGCCTCTTTCTGCGCGAGCTTTGACCCACTGGTCAACAGGTGGTTCTCCATTCATATAGCCTGGAATGATAACATTCATGTCACGTTTCTTTTACTGGTTGGATGTTTTCCGTTTTTCATTATGAAAAGAGGAAACGATGAGCCCACCTGTCAGTGTGATCTGACCATCAGAGGCATTTCTTTCTTCCTCATGCAGAAGAACCTCTGAGCTTATGTCCACCGACGCTCCACACAGATTGACACCAGCTTTTAATGAAGGCGGGACACGCACACTCACCGCCCCTACATCAAACAGAGATTAATCAAGAAAACGGGAAGAACTGAGCTGCAGTTACATGAGTTATGTCCTCGACCTTACCGTCTTGACTGTGGAGCTCAGCTGTACCGCTGTCTCCCACGTAGACGTCGATGCTTCCACTGATGGAGGAAACCTTCAGGGAGCTGTTTGAACCATCTGCAGAAGAAAAGAAACCCCTCAGGCTTTGAAGGAAACCATACATGGGTCGCTGTGCAGTTAGCTGGCCTGCTTACCAACCACCGTATCTCCAGACTCGTTACTCACTGTGGTGTTACCTTTAATGAATAAAAAAAAAAAGAAGATAGAAGTAGATCACTTTTGGTTTTTATATCTTCATTGTGATAAAAAAAAAATCTTTAAGGTTTAAAGTTACAGGGTCATTTGTCTATATGGAAGAAATTAAAATTCTTAAGAAGGGACACTTCTTTTTCTTGCGTTCATTCCAGTTTTGTTTTCCTTTAAGATCAAAGTGTAATCTTTTACAACTAGCTCGCCTTTATAGACGTCTCAGAAACAAATACTTGGAAGGTATGTGATAAATTGAGACCACATTGCTTTTAATCAACTGTGACTGAACCTGAGCCCAAGATTCCTTATGGATCAGCTTTACCAAGAGGCTTAATGTAAAGCAGCTGTGGACCAGGATGAACTAAAAGGTCCTAAAAGATTCAGCTTGATGTGAAGAGGAGTTCAAGTCTTAGTTTAGTCCCAAACATTTGTTGAAGGATTTTATCTGATAGATGAAGCATATGTAAATATAGTGGCATTATTTAGACACTTTGATACACGTAGATGAATACCACCATGACCATTGTGTGTTTATAGTAATTCGATTTCTCCCATGTTAAATTAAATATCAGTAAAAACAAAGGGTCAAAGGTGACTCAATCCACGCTGCATGGTTTAGGTTCTTGCTATCCGTCTACACCTACAACAACGTAAAAATGTTTGAGAGATTTCATCAGAACATGTTGGCATTTGGAGGAGGTAATGCCATCATTTAAACCAGGTGCACTAAAGGAGAGGCATCTATAAGATGAACCGTAGAACCACGAGGACAGGGAACCACCGTGTAAAAGGCCACCAGTTAAGACCAGTAAACAGGCCTGACAGAGACGCAGAGTTAGGTTATTAAACAATATTCTCAGTCCCGAACATCATCTGGAGATTTATCCTTCAATTTATTATATGAAGATGGATCCAGTATGGCATGACTGCAGGGATACTGTGACATGGCTGTACACCTTCACGGAGTTTAAAAAGAGCTTTGGTCACATGAAACCAAGAGTGAACCATCCCCACTGTGAAACTCGGCAGTGGCAACATCATGACATGGGAGAAGGTCTTTTTTCCTTCTTCTTAAAAAGAGGGACATATAAACAGATTAGGGCTTAAACAATTAAACAGATTGTGATTAATCGATTAAAATAACTGTCAAATGATTTTGTAATTGATTACCGGTAATCGTTAACTGGAGTATAGAGAATGTAAAATATGTCTTTAGCTGAACACCTTTAACAGTAATGTCAAAATTGTAAAAAAAAAAAAACATTTTTCATTTAGGATGAAAAAAGGGTTTCGTCTGTAAATATGCTCCATTCAGAACTAAGTGGAAAAGTTTTAAGATTCACCTGGTTTCAAAATCTTCCTTATGGAAACTTTTGCTATCCGAATAATCGAAAAAATCATCGAATTAATAATCGATTTGCATAATCGTCATTAGTTGCAGCCCTAAAACAGATCAGAGTTGATTGGAATATAGCTGCGCTACAAGCAGGGCTCTGAAGGAGAAAACACCTGCAGAAGACTTGAGACTACTGCACCAGTGAAAAGAATTGCAGAGATAAAGTTAAGAGACACATCCTGCTTAGAATCTGTGATAAGGCTTTACAATTTCTGATCAGAGTTGCTTTCAATCAAATCTGACCCAGCTTGACCAGTCTCTACAAGTATTAGGCTGATGAAGACAAAACTGTAAAAGACTTACAATAAAGGGTGGTTCTACAAAGCAGTAGCAAATGCTGTTTAGTTGCAGATAATACCTTCTAGGCCATGGGTCTTCAATGTTTTCCAGGGCAAGGACCCCAAACTAATGGTGAGATGGAGCAGGGACCCCCTAATTATATATATTGTATGAAATTGGGTTATATCAAACTGGTCCTATAGTCTCTCTGTTACAGATGGAGTCATGTAACGAAAGTAATTTCTCCCTGGAATTATTAAAGTATTTCTGATTCTGATTCCTCATAGATGGCACAGGTGTTGTGAATGAAACGGTGCGCAGCTTGAAAGAGCTCCTGTGTGTCGACATATGTGTTCATTCATGACTGCAAGACATCTTTTGCATCCATTTATCTGTTTACTACAGTGTGTTGAATTCATGTCACAGTGTATTTAAAGACATTTTAATTAGTGTAAAAAATTGCAGGGGGAATATAAAAAAAAAAGTCTAATCAACCAAAACTTTCGTGACCCTCATGCAGTACCTCTGTGGACCTGATAGGGGTGGTGGACCCCCTGTTGAAGACCTCCATTCTAAGCCATCTAATGTAGCCAATGTTAAAAAGAATAAGAATATAAATACATCAAATAAAAATGTATTGTTTTATTGTGTCCTGGAAGGAATTAATGGGTATGGGCTGTATAAAAGAGTATTAATCTTGATCAACGTTCTGAACTCAATCCTGGTCAGTTAAAGAAATCCTGTTCAAAGATCCAAAACTTCATCCTCCAACTTGAATTTTAAGCAGGATTTTCACACATCTAAATCTTTCCTGGTAAACCTCTAATTTATGAATTCATTGCAAATATTTGAAGTTTTTAATCACAGACCAGAATCAAAAACAGTAAGGTGTTTTTTCCCCCTTAAGTATAGTTATCATTTACTTTTATAGGGGTGCGAGTTATTTTCTTACCATGTACATGACCCAGTTCTACTCTTCCGGAGCGGGAGGAAACACAGCTGGACTCTGCATAGATGGCTTTGACCTTCAAAGCACCACACTCTGTAGAAACATTCATTCTTGTGCCCTGGAGCTTCTTGATATCCACCACCTGTAAAATAAGACATCTAATGACTACACATGTAAACACATCCCTCTGCAGATCAGAATACCCAACATGTAACTCAGTCTCGCTGATAGCTGGAATAGTTACTCGCTGCCCCCTAAAGGCTGCTGTGAATAAGACAACAGAGAGAAATTCTGTCCTACTTACACCATCTCCCTTTGCTTGGATGTCCACATTACCATGGATGGTGCCTACACCTGTAACATGTCCACCCTGGGACTGCACTTCCACTTGATGACCCTGAAATGGGACAGCATTAAGAAATGAGAAGTTAACCGGCAAATGCTTTCACTCATTTAAGATTGGTACTAATGAATGATAGTACAACTGATCCAAAATAAACCTTAGATAAAATGTGTTATATGTAAATTTAAAACAGTTGTTATAAGCTCATTTGCACACTGGAAATAGCAATGAAAAACTTATCAGAAACAATTCAGAATGAAGTCAGACGTACTTCTGTTTTTATCATTCTTAAGGAGATAAAAAGAACTAAAAAATTGAAAATCAAGAATTTAAAGTGAACAGATAAAATTGAAATTTTTTTTCAAAAATTTAATTTGTAATTTCAGACTAAATTTGAAGAAGAAAGAAAACGTTTAGCTGTTTTTTTTTTGTTTTTTTTTGTTTTTTTATATATCTTTCTTCTACCAGAGCACAGAAATAGGGCACAAACTCTAACCTTTAATGTTTACAAATTTCCAGATGGATTGCTACACCAAGTAAAGACTTTACAAACACATTGGACTGACATCAGCCCATCACATGACTCCTCAAATCATCGCTATGGAAACCACACTAAATCTCTGTACCCTATAATGTTCTTGTAGATACGTGTTTTTGTCTATAGAATTATTATGTGCTTCTCTGCCCTTTTCCAGACTTTAGGACCTAGATTCAGTCGTGGATCTGGAAGATTTTCATAGGGCTGGCCAGACAGGGGCCAATTAGCACAGAGGCATAGAGAATAATTGACTGGCAACAAAACTAATTTAAGGTAATCTATATTGATTACAATGAACCAACAGGAAGATGAATGATACACAATATCTATGTTTTAAAAATAAGTCATTGAAAACAAACCAGATTTTCATGAGGCCCTCCATAATGAAACTTAAAAATATTTATATATTGGTGCTGTTTAAATGAATCAATGGTTCTACATAATATATACATTAAAGAGGTAAAGCGGTTTTTCTTTATCTTTAATTATGTAGAAGAATCCATGCAGTCCCAGTTGGCCTCGGCAGATGGCCGCTCACACTGAGCCTGGTTCTGCTGAATGTTTCTTCCTGCTAAAAGGGAGTTTTTCCTCTCCACTGTCACTACAAGCATGCTTAGTGTGAGGGATTGCATTCAAGTTAATGAGTCGATGCAATCAATTGGTTGTCCTTAGATAGAAAACTTTAAATCAATTTGAATATATGATCTGGTGAACTGTAAAGTGCCTTGATGTGACATGTGTTGTGAATTGGCGCTATGTAAAAAAAAATGAATTGAATAATTATTAGTATTTTTGCTGTCACTGAATCACTGTAGGAACCCTGTTCTAGAATCAGTGACTCTGCGCCATCGTCTCTCTTCTGTGTTCATACTGAAGATGCGCATAGATGTATTGTGTCACACGCAACTTTCACCAGGAAATTGTAGTCCTTATTTCTAGAGTCAAGTAACGGATAATGAATCTGTTTACAGCTTAGTAATGACTAACGCATTACCGACTTTTACAAAGTAATTAGTTACCGCACTAGTTACAGGAAAAGTAAAGTAGTTACTGTAACGCTTAACTTAATAAGGCGCTAGTCCTAATACAGAAACCACTGCCTTTATATTTTCAGCAATAAGCATGCATGTATGAGGAATACCTACTTTGACAGAGTGAAGTAAACAGCTTCCCTTTTCTGTTTGCACTTTGCAAATATCACACTCCATCTTCTTCACTTGCACGCTGCCTCCTCCCTGAGTAGTGATGAAGAGATCTAACAAAAGCAGAGAGGTTTATTCTACAGTGACTCTTACAGGGATGGGATACTTGTGGGAAACAGACAAGCTCTACTTGGAGAAACATAGAAAACATACTGCTACCATGGGCGGTTCTAGACAGGGGCCAACAGGGGCAGTGAGCCTGTAAATCATGTCCCGGACCGTGTACTGAAGAAATAATACTTAAAAGAAATTCCAATGATGATATGCGCTGGAACAGACATGGTTACTGATACGTCCTTTGGATCTTTTTTTTTTTTTCCTTTACAAGTTATGTTTTACCAATTATTAAAAAAATAATAAGGTGATAGCTTCAGTGGTATGGAGATAGGATCCCAGTTTTCATCTGCTAAATGTCTTTTTTTTTTTTCAAAACATAAAAAATACTCCTAATTTTACAGCTGAATTTATCATTTTTTCTTGAGTTAAAATTCAGATTTTATAGAAAATGGTAAGTTCAACTTAAATTAAGTGAAAAATATGTAAAATTCCTAAATAATGAATGTATATTGACCTTATAAGAAATATAATTTTTATTAAACTTAATTGAATAGAAATTTCCCTTCATGTAGCTCTCTTAATATATTTCAATCCCTTGCCCTGTTCTTATTTCATGCTTTTCTGTGCCCATATGAAAACACTCTGGCCCCCTTCTGGCCCCCTGGTACATTTGGTCTAGAACCGCTACTGACTGCAACAGCTGATTATTATTTATTTAATTTTTTTTCTTTTTTTGTACAAACTCACTACTTTTGATAGGTGCATCCATCTCAATCGTGACGTTGCTGTTCACCTTCTCAGCAGAGATGCGCAGCTCCTGACTTTGTTCATCATAATGGAAATGCAGCTGCTCCATACAGTCCCTCTGGACGCCACCATGGACAGAAATCAGGGCTTGGTCTGCCTCCGGGTAAGCGTGCACGTCCAGTGGGCGGATGCAGATGTTGCAGCCTAACCGGGCCCTCACTGTGGTGAAGGGGCTGACGGTCAGGGCCCACTGCCGCAGGGACGAACCCTCCTCCCCTTCATGAGTTGGTGTCTTAGCGGGGTCAGAGCTAGAGAAGTATCGCGAGATAAGCATGGGGCACCGGGGTGCAGCGAGAGCTTTGCTGCTGGATCTGAAGGACAAACACCCTAATAGGAGCCCCACAGATCCTCTCTGAGCTACCGATGTCCAAAACATCTCTGCGGGCTTTAGCTCCTCTACACACGGGCAACACAACCTGCTGAGTTACATGTGCTGCCATTCAGTGCGCACGCGCTGTTTCACACGTGTCCACCCTCACCGGATGTGACTTTTAGAGTCTGGATTTCAGAATAAAACTATGGCATAATACGATCACATTGCTGTTATTTGTAAATTTTGTTCAAAAATGAATCAGGAAAAGAGGTATAAGATGCTCACATAAATTTTTACACCGAAGGCACATTTATTTGCTGTTTTTCTGTGGTACAGCACACACGTTTGCTGCTAAAACCTGTTAGAAATGCTGATGAAACTTTGCTTAACAGCTCAGCTAAAAGTCTTCAAAGATTTCTATTATTTCTAAAAGTAGAATGGGAACTTACCAGAATTCTCTCCTGTGGAACCAACTACCAGTTTTTGTCCATGAAGCAGACACCCTGTCTACTTTTAGGTGTAGGCTTAAAACTTTTTGATAAAGCTTATAGTTAGAGTGGCTCAGGTTATCCTGAGCTATCTCTATAGATATGCTGCTATAGGCTTAGACTGCTGGAGGACATAGGGACCCTTTTTCATTATCCTGCTTTGTTCTATCTCTACTCTCCCATTCTGCAAAAATTTTTAGTTCAATCTCTAACATTAGATTCTCTCTGCTTTTTCTCATTGTTATTGAATCTGGTCTTTTCCTGTTTGGCTGTAATGTCATCCTGAAGAGGGATATCAGCTGTGCTGCTGCCATCAACACCTTTGTTTGTGGATGTTGGAGCTTGGCCTGTTTTTAGGCCCCGTCCACACGAAGACGAACCCTGGCCTAAACGCACACATTTTTCACCAAACCAGCCTCTCATCCACACGAAGCCGGCGTTTCGGGGGTCTGTAAACGATCTTTTTTTTATTCAGCCTTCAGAGTGGGAAGATTTCGAAACGCCGTTTTAGCGTTTCCATCTTTACACTCTAACCGCATATTTTTTTTTACACGCATGCGTCATAGCGATGTCATAGTCTGTTTCATGTTCTATAGTTTGTGATATATGCTAGAGACTGAAGGGTTCCACACACTGTCACATGATCTATAGCAGGGGTGACCAATTAAAAATCAGCAGGATATGAATAAAGAAAATAAACAACCAGTAAAGGTACAGAGACATTTTTGATTATAATCTGTTACTTTAAACAGAATTTAACACTGGAATTAAATGAGGTGTTTATGCATTCATGTTATACATTGACTTTTAAATAACAAAAAAAAAAAAAAAACTTTTTTCCATTTTAAAATGGAAAAAGTTCTATCGTGTTCTATAGTCTTTTTTTGAAGTACAGAACAACAATCGTTCAGTTTGGTATATAGACAATTTCCTCATTCACTTATCTTTTTTAAAACACCTGAACTGTTATTTTTTCTTTCTTTTTTATGGTTTAAAGAAACCATTCTCCAGCACATGTCAAAGTGTTCATTTTGAGCCTGGATGGATATCTATTTTTGATTATGTTCATGATAAGGAATCCTGCTTCACAGTAGTAGTAGCCAAACATGTGCAGGGTCATCTTTGAGCACACCATTTCACTTTTCTGTCACCAGTCCACACTTTTTCCTCATCGTCTTCTCCATGTTTCCCACTGGTTTGCCTGCTGTGTCTAAAAGTAGCTAGCAGCAGCAGCCCTGACTGACAACTCATTGGGAAATTTTTATTAAATGTAGCCTGGTCCTGGGCGTACTGGAGGGCTTTACCATATTAACAAGAAAAGCGATGCAAGTGAAATTAGACACTGCTGCACACAACATGCGGTAATTTATGTTTTAAATCAGGTTGGGTCTGGATTGCTAATCCGTGACCTTGGTTGTATACGTTCTTCACCTGAAACAACTGAACATCCATTCATGAAATCAAGCGTTTCTCTCCTTGGGCACGGAGGACCAACTCTGCCATGTTTAAAAATGAATACAAAGATAAATCCTCAAAGCATACAACTGCCCCCCAAAATACAATGAATAAATGTAGGCAGGAATTAAACCATACAGTGAAACATACATTTAGATATCTTTTAACTAGCTTCTTTATTGTCCCTTATAATCATTGACTATTTTTACTTATTTATTTTGCTTTTTTTTTTTTACCCAATTTATAATAATGTAATTACATATACATATTTGTAGAGCATTTATTTTCAGTCATATGGATGCTCATCTGAGGTATCAGGAATAAATATTCTAAAACGGTCATAATGTGAAAAGCCCACATTGACCAGAATATTAATTCCCGCGCCTTGATTTAGTTATTAAGGAACCATTTGCTCCAATTGACGTTTGTGTGGCCCTTAAAAGGGCCTTTGTTGAGCTTGCAGCAATGAGAAGGTTTACTTGGAGCTGGTGTACTTGGTAACAGCCTTGGTTCCCTCAGACACTGCGTGCTTGGCCAGCTCACCGGGCAGCAGGAGGCGCACAGCGGTCTGGATCTCCCTGGAGGTGATTGTGGAGCGCTTGTTGTAGTGAGCCAGGCGGGAAGCCTCGGAGGCGATGCGCTCGAAGATGTCGTTGACGAACGAATTCATGATGCTCATGGCCTTAGAGGAGATGCCGGTGTCGGGGTGGACCTGCTTCAGCACCTTGTAGACATAGATGGCGTAGCTCTCCTTCCTGGTCTTTCTCTTCTTCTTGCCTCCTTTGCCGGCGGTCTTGGTCACAGCTTTCTTTGAGCCCTTCTTGGGCGCAGACTTTGCGGGTTCAGGCATCCTGATGCGTTCCTGGAAACAGCAACAAACGAGTGAAAATTCAAAGGGACCAGTGGTATTTATAGTCTGCATGTAAAAGAGTCTGTGCTGTATCCTGTCTCTGATTGGTTTAAATGAACCGCTGATGGCGCTCGGTTGAGACGCTTGGTGTTTCTGGGTGTGGGGGAAGGGCACTTTTTCATGCGTGAGAGGGGGGATAGGTTGAGACTTGTAATGCTTGTTAGTGTGTGTGCTCCTGTTGTAGCACTACAGTAAGAAACGTTTTGAGCTGTTTGAGCATTTCTGTTTTATTTTTTATATTTCAATATCTATTTGCCCCCTGCCTCTGTTATCAAGTAATAAAAATATTCAAAAACAGCCCATGCACAACGAAAAGCTCCAACAATCCAGAAGAACAAAGGGAATCTGACTTTGAATGGATCTCCATGCCACAGAGCCTACAGATCTGACAAAGACTCTTCGGTGTCGACATGTCTTGAACAACTGAGAGAAAATCTGGTTGCCTTCCAACTCTTTTGCCTCTTTCTGGTTACTTGAGAACATAAATTAGTGTTAAATGTGTATTGTCATAGTACATAGACTCAGTGTTGGGAAAGTTCTCTTTCTACGTGAACTAGTTCAAAGTTCAGTTCACACATTTTAAAACGAACTAGTTCAGATCATAGTTCATAATTCAAAACCAAAAAATGAACTAGTTCATAGTTCTTTTTTTTTTTTTTTTCATATATTGCTCATTTACACCATAGCCTACTGTAGAACCACAGACAGCAATTATTTTATCAGTTGTAACTCTGAAACTGTGCGTCAGATTTCATCTTCATATCCAGTTTTGAATCCTTATCCAACCAGGGTTTACATTAGCATTGAGGGGACAGATTTCCCCATTGTTGCTTTAACCAGGGGCGTCTCTAGGTTTAAGAGACAAGGGTGGCTTAGCCCCCAGAAGATAATGCGCGCGCAAAGCGCGCGCCGAATTTTTTCAGTGCACCTGCTAAGGCGTTGTCTAAGACAAGGGTGTAACTTTGTGTTGAAAGTTGGTGGGGACGGCTCATAAGGAAAGGGAGCTACCTGCGCGACGCCTTTTTTTTTTTTGTTGGAAAGGATAAAGCCAAAAAAATGTGAATAACATTTATCAATTTAATGCTTACAGTTGAAAACATAACTGTTACAATATTCACTTATATATTTTGTGCAAAAAATATCACATAAATCTAAACAGACAGTACAAATCAAAGAAATCAAATAAATATATCAATTTTGTAGAACATTTATTGACAGTCAATTTTGGGTCACTTTTTAAAATTAATTTACTTTTAAACCAGGACTCGGACAAGATCTTATGGGACCTTAAGCAGAATATGATTAAGCAACTCCGTCTTTCTGTCAAGAACATCCACCAGCAGGGTATCCAGGGGGGGATTTACCATTAGGCAATACTAGGCAGTTGCCCAGGGCCCCAAGTTCTGGGGGCCCCATAAAACTCTGTTTCCATGTATGGTTAATACAACTAATCCTTATTTGTGCACATTAATTATGTTTTTGATAAAAATCCTTTGGCTAAAATGCCATCAGAACGCTGATAAATAGAGAGGAAAAAGGGACAAGAAGAGAGGGACAAAACCTAGAACAAATAATGGATGTCTATTCTATTAACATTTCTCTATCTGTAGAATGGGTCTGTTTTATGGGTTTACTTCTCAGGGGGCCCCCTGCCTGTCTTTGCCTAGGGCCCCAAATTTCCTAAATCCGCCCCTGAGGGTATCAATACTGATTTGATAGAATCTGGGAGAGCGGACCATGTTCAACCAATCCATTTTCTTTAACCTTATCCCTCAGTGGGATCAGGAGGTGCTGGTGCATATCTCCAGCCACGTTTTGGGTGAGAGGTGGGATCACCCTGGACAGGTCACCAGTCTGTCGCAGTATGTTCAACCAGCTTAAAAGTAATCGGTAATCAGATTTATTATTTGCACTTTTACTAAGTGAACTTTCTAACTCCCTTAAATCTGAAATTCCAATGCCAAAATTGTTTAAAGCTTTTATCTTTGGACCCCCTGCAGAGTGACGTCACACCTGCAAGATCCTATCCTTACCTTCCTGCTAGATTGCAAAAAGCAGCTTGCTCATGAGTTGTCAACATAACACGCTAAATCTTAAATGTAAGTGTACATATAAAAGAAAAAGGGGCGCAGTGCTTGCTACTGAATGGCAACACTATCAAAGTCAGGAAAAAGTTTTAAGTAAAGCCGGGATTAAAACAGTAGCTACAAGAAGCTTCAAATAAAAGGTGTTCTTTATGTTCAACCTAAACACCAACTCCGATAGACCATCAGTAGAGCAGGTGTTTAAATTAATCAATCTAAGCTAATATACCACAGCCATCACTTAATTAACGCAAAATAAACAACCCTCTAAAAACGGAAAACTGTAATGGACTGAAAGTCCTGTTTTTATGTGGGAAATTATTTGCGTGTGTTTTAGTATAATTCTGATATATTGGCGCTGTTGTCTGTTTCTATGGCAACGATACTGAATGTAGTGTAGCTTAGAGACCTGCATGGGTCGAGTTTTACCAACCCGCACCCGCCCAAACCCGTTAGGATGACTACCGAACCCGACCCGTCACCCACGGAAATCTTCAATTCAAATGTTATGGGGAGAGGGCGGAGGGGGGTGATGGGGAGAAAGCGAGAGGCAACAGATTATTTTTTCTGAGTTTTTTTGTCGGGGTTTGTGGACGGTGAGCAGCGGGGAGAACTTTTTTTAAATTTTCTTTCTGAGGAGCGGCATGAATGGGGTTTTTTAATCAGATATACACAGCACCGAAAGCAAAATACGTGTACAAAATATTGGTGGGGACATGTCCACACCAGTCCTTAAGGAAGTTACGCCTATGATTGTTCAGATTAACTTGTCTTCTTTATGGCTTTTATTCGGTCCTTTACTGCATTTGTTTTGGGAAAATATGAGGAAAAAATAAATACAGAAAAAAATATATATTTTTTAAAATCGCAAAATAATTATAGGGTGGCTAATGCCAAAGAAAGGGTGGCTGAAGCCACCCTTAAATAGGTCTAACGACGGTTATGGCTTTAACGCTTTGTTGCTGTCCATTCACTTCACACTAGTAGCAGCTGCAGCTTTCACCCCTACAGTATATTCTCAAAAACATCAGGAAAAATGTGCTGCTTGAATGGTCTTTTTTATGACTAATTATTAAAAGAAAAATAGGAAAGTAGTCTTTAAGGTGCAAATGTTTTTTTTTTATTTTAATAATTTTTTCCATTTGAAATTCCATTTCAATACATACTAAAAAGGAATACTGGAATCCTGGAAAATTATACCAGGCAGGTTTAACAAACAAGTTACATGGATAGTAAAACCCTCAAGAACAGGGGTCTTCTATGTTTTCCAGACCAAGAACCCCCAAACTGATGGCGAGATGGAGCGGGGACCCCTTAACTATATATATTTTATGAAATTGTGTCCTATAGTCACTCTATTACAGATGGAGTTATGTAAAGAAATTAATTTCTCCCTGGGACTATTAAAGTTTTTCTGATTCTGATTCCTGGTTGTTGTGAAGGAAACGGTGCCCAGTTTGAAAGAGCTCCTGTGTGTCGCTGAATGTGTGCATTGATGACTGAAAGACATCTTTTGTCTCCATTTATCTGTTTACTACAGTGTGTTGATTTCATGTTAATGAGTATTTAAAGACATTTCAATTAGTGGGGGGAAAAATTGCAGGGGGGGAATATAAAAATATCAACTAACCATGCAGACCCTCATGCAGTACCTCCGTAGACCCCCTAGGGGTCGCGGATCCCCTGTTGAAGACCTCCGCTCAAGAAGATTTTACTAACACAAACTGAGGGACCAGGCTGAGGTAGGAATTTAAGGTTACTGAAAGCCGGCGGGCAAACTTGTTGCCATCATCCTCACCGACCACCTGGTCATAAAACTGTTTTAAGTGATCATACTGCTGCTTTGTCGCCTCTACGCTGCTGTGGCTTCCACACAGCATTTTGTTTAGATGACGCACACGGCTGTAGGCTACGACACTGGTAGCTGGTGTTGCCAGATTGGGTGTTTTTCCCGCTACATATTAAGGCCTGTTTACGGTTTGATTTAGCCGGGGTTTCGCCTGGAGGACTCTATAGAAATCTGGCAACCTATTGAACGGAGCTGAACTGAGAGAGCGTGCCGTTCACAGACACCAGAATGAACGAGTTCACAATAACGTTCATCAGGCAAGAATGCAGTACGTTCAGTTCACGTTCGCCCAAAATATGAACGAGTTCATGAACTTTCGTTCAATGAACGCGTTCAGGCACAACACTGCATAGACTCTTTTAGAGTTATTACAACAACTTGATTAAGAAATACACTACACAGATTTCTAATTTAACACTAATTCAGAGTGGCGCCAACTGCACTCTTAATCTGTACATTTAAATTAATTTAAGAATTTACTGGTACAGCAATAAAATGTTTCTTTTTTCAATTGATTAATGCAAGTGCCTTAGGCCCCGTCCACACGAAGTCAAACCCTGGCCTAAATGCACAAATTTTTCACCAAACCAGCCTCTCATCCATACGAAGCCGGCGTTTCGGGGGTCTGTAAACAATCTTTTATTTATTCAGCCTTCAGAGTGGGAAGATTTTGAAACGCCGTTTTTGCGTTTCCATCTTTAAGCTCTAACCGCATTATTTTCTTACACACATGCGTCATAGCGTCGCCTCTAAACACGCATGTGCGACACAGTATCACAACAACTATGGCGCCGTACTGTGTTGAATGGTTGCTGCTCATGCTACTCACCCTGCTGTCGGGCTTACAACAGAATCTTCTTAAAATAAAAAATAATATCAGCATCTCATATGCACTTCGTTTTACAAAAAGGAAAAGGGACAGAACAGCAAAATACGTTCATAAATATATCAAATACTAAAATATTTTTGAAAAAACAACAAGGACATCGTTAAAAAAAATTTTGTGCTATTGTTATGCATCTCACACCACTTGGACAAGGATAACTAATTTTAAGCGCAAAAGGATAATGCAGGTATCTAAAGTCATGTATTTCATTTCAAATGGTCTATTTTTTTTTACATGTTGAAATGACAAAAAAAACTGATACATCGTCTTTAATTATGTGAATAAAATATGTAAGCTTGACATTTGAATGTCATTACAATGACATTCAACTTTGAATTGTCTGTAATCTCTTTTCATTTCTAGTACCAATCTGATTATGGCAAATCTCACTCTTTGGGGAGATTTGGGTGGCTCTTAAAGAGCCGTTGGGTTGGTGTTGAAAACCTGCAGTATTACTTCTTTGCTGGCTTCTCGGTTTTCTTGGGCAGCAACACAGCCTGGATGTTAGGAAGAACACCGCCCTGAGCGATGGTAACTCCGCCAAGCAGTTTGTTCAGCTCCTCGTCATTGCGGACAGCCAGCTGCAGATGGCGGGGGATGATTCTGGTCTTCTTGTTATCACGGGCAGCGTTTCCGGCCAACTCCAGGATCTCAGCAGTGAGGTATTCCAACACTGCAGCGAGGTAGACGGGAGCTCCAGCGCCGACGCGCTCAGCGTAGTTGCCCTTCCTCAGGAGCCTGTGAACACGGCCGACAGGGAACTGCAGCCCAGCACGAGATGAGCGGGTCTTGGCCTTAGCCCTGGCTTTGCCTCCGGTCTTTCCACGTCCAGACATGATTCTAATTACGTTTACTTTCACAAGTAACAGTCAAGACACGCATTGGGAGTATATATACAGCCTATCGTGGATCATGTGCTTTCTGATTGGTCACATCTAACAACAAATCCAGTCGTCCAATCAAAGCAGTCGACCTTTTTCACCGTCTGCTTCTGCCTATATTACCCCTGATTGCAGCGGCAGATCGGGGCGTGGTTTAAGCTTGAGGGCTTGGCTCCAGTCCGCTTTTTGGGCGCCAGCTGATGGCGGAAACTATTCAACCCTTTCACAGACAGCAATACAGAACCTACTGCCATAGTTGTCTAAGGTAACGAATCATAATCGTATACATAAGATGATCTACATAAAATAATTTTCATGAAATTGATAGATAAGAAAATATGATAAACAATTTATTTATATTAGACCCATCTTCTTTCTTCCAATCAGTAGCTACTTAATCCATTCTACCAATACATCTACACATATATAAAACTGTAATCAAAATTACGTTTTTATTGCTTTTCCCCAGAACAGACACAATAACATATGTCTCTTTATAGAAAAACATTTGCATATGGTTGTACCAGAGAAATTCTGTATCTCAGAACTATGCACATGTTTAGTGAACAATCATTTTATTTTTACTGGTAATCATGTCTTGGTGAAATCCCTCATACTCCCTCGGTAAAAAGGAACACCAATGCTTTCCTTATCATTCTCACGTGGATCCAGGATCAGATAGAGGATTTCCACTGTCCCTATGCAATTTTCTATTGGTCTCATCTTTATCTAAAAGAAAACTGATTGCTGCCAAACAAAGTGACAACCCTATCATTGACAATTATAAATTATTAATAATTAACTGGATAGGTTGAAATGATAAATATTAGTTAAAGTATTATTATAATGGAGATTTTAATTGAATATGTTAGTTTTATTCAATGTATGTGTGCTGCACAGCTTAAAATGTAGAATCGGAACTCAGAAGAAATATTTATGTGGCTCTTAAAAGAGCCGTTGGGTTTTCTTGGATCAGCTGTACTTATGCTCTCTCTCCACGGATGCGGCGGGCCAGCTGGATGTCTTTGGGCATGATGGTGACCCTCTTAGCGTGGATGGCGCACAGGTTGGTGTCCTCAAACAGACCAACCAGGTAAGCCTCGCTGGCCTCCTGCAGAGCCATGACGGCGGAGCTCTGGAAGCGCAGATCGGTCTTAAAATCCTGAGCGATCTCTCTGACCAGACGCTGGAAGGGCAGCTTGCGGATTAGCAGCTCAGTGGATTTCTGGTAACGGCGGATCTCTCGGAGAGCCACTGTACCAGGCCTGTAACGGTGGGGCTTCTTCACTCCACCAGTAGCTGGGGCGCTCTTACGGGCAGCTTTGGTAGCCAGCTGCTTCCTGGGAGCTTTTCCTCCGGTGGACTTACGGGCGGTCTGCTTAGTTCTTGCCATTTTGGACTAGCTGTTTGCCTTTCGCTCAAAGACGAAGATATAAACTCGTAGGAGAAACAGCGGCTTTATAAAGACACGTGCGACGTAAGGTGGTCTCTGATTGGACCAAATTAAACACGTGGTACAGCCCGTCCATCTCAGCAATTGGTTGAGTTTCACATTTTAAAATAAAGCGCGAGATGTCTAACAAAGAAAGAAAAATGCGGGGAGTGTCAAAGCTGAAAATCAGCAGGAAAATTTCAACATTAGATCAAACAACATCAGAAAATATTGTTTTCTATGTAGTTTGCTTTCAAGAATCCTCTGCACAATATTTATTTGATTTTATTTGTTTGGCAATAGTTCACTATACTGGTTGTAGTTTGAAATAAATATTATATATTATCTACATCTATTCTTATTAAATCAATCTCCTTCCTACTTTGAAAAATCTAAATAAAAAGTAAGCTAAGAGAATGAAATAAATTTAAAAAAGTGTGATATTTGCTTTAGCGAAGTATTTGATTAGATTGGTTGATAATGAACATTGTTATAGTTTAACTTGATTAGCTTTTCAAAACCAGTTCAACACTTAACAAAGCTCAGTTGAAACTGCCTTAAACATGGTTGTTCCTAAAATTAGAGGAAATGTATTTGTCAAATAGAAGTGCTTCTTTTAAATATTAAAATTAGTTTTTACATTCTGGTCAAAGACTATGGAGACTACACATGTAAGTATTTACAGACATTTATCTGCATTCATCATAGCAACTTTTAATGAAAAAAAAATTAATAAATCTTCCTAATTTCATTCATTCGTTTCATTTTTTTTAACCGCCATCACTTCCTGTTATCAAAACCTTCCTTGGGATTTTTTATTTTTGTCCTGTAAACAATATTTAAAGTTATTAAACTTTACCTAAATGTATGTATTGCCTTAATTAAAATGTTGTCCATGCTGAAATAGTTTAGTATTTCAGAATATTATTATTTAATATGAAATATGACATGAAACATGAAGTGATTTAATATTTCTTACTAAATATCACGTCTAAAAAAAAAAACGTGTTAGAAACCAAATTAACTGTCCTTCCATTCAAATAAATATTTTCAGATGGAGTTATTTATCAGCGTTAATATTGTGATCTAAGCTTGTGATCAGGTTTCAAATGCGCTCTTTATTTTAGGGTGTTTCTGTGAATCATTTGGATGAGGCTGACCCATGGGGAATGGGAAGGTTCAGTTATGAGTGAAATAAACTGATTTTGATCATTCCATTGATCGGCCACTCCAATTACTACTTTTAAGTTTGAGGATATTATCTACTTATTCAGCAATTCATGCTTATAGGGAATCAGCACTTAAGATGAAGCCGTGGTGGCTCTGAAAAGAGCCTTTGGTGCACTGAGTGCTGGTGGAAGTAGCAGTCTACTTCTTGGCCTTCTTAGCTGGAGCCTTTTTAGGTGCAGCTTTCTTGGCTGCAGGTTTCTTAGCTGCAGGCTTCTTAGCAGCCTTTGGCTTCTTGGCAGCAGGGGCGGCCTTTTTGGGGCTCTTCTTTGTCACCTTTTTCACGCTTTTCTTGGCAGGTGCCTTCTTAGGAGACTTCTTGGCTGCTGCCGCTTTCTTAGCAGCGGGTTTTTTAGGAGTGCTGGCCTTCTTAGCGGCGGGCTTCTTGGCTTTTGCTGGAGCCTTCTTCTTCACCACCTTCTTGGCTGGTTTAGCGGCTTGGGAATCCTTGGGGAGCTTGAAGGAGCCGGATGCCCCGGTCCCTTTGGTCTGAGCCAGGGTACCATTGCTGACCAACTTGGTGACAGCCGTGTTGATCCGCTTGTTGGCTTTAGTCGTATCCACTCCTTTACTGGCCAGGACCTTCTTGACCGCCGCCAGAGAAATGCCCTTTCGCTCCTTGGACTCGGCCACGGCGGCCACGATGAGCTTGGACAGGCTGGGTCCATCCTTTTTGGCTTTAGGAGCGGACTTCTTCCTCGGGGCTTTTGCCGGGGCTTTCGCCGATGCAGCTGCTGGAGCTTCTTCTGCCATGTTTCTCTGTTAATGTTCCTCTGAACGTCTCCAGCTCAGAGCAGGAGGCGGGATTTATATTATGGATGAGAACCGTGAAGAAACAACCCAGCCTGCTGCTGTGCTCCCGCCTGAAATCTGTCCGCATTTGTGTTTTCTTCGCAGCCTTTAAGGCTTTAAATCTGCGCTAAATTAAAGTTTTCTATCATATCACTTACTTTAACGGAAAGTAAATAGTCTGATATATACAATTAGGTCCCATTTGGTTTCCAAAACGTTCTCTTTTTAACCCAGGAACGCTCAAAAGTGTCTGAAGCTCGTTGTTCTTGAGCATTCAGAGGCGGATTTTCTCCACATTTCGTCTTTTAAAACATATAAAACAATTGTTCACAAGACATTAAGAAGAGACCCCGCTAAAAAACAAAGCGATCGGCAGAATACATATGAAATGTTTTCGTAAGTGTCATTGTCTTTGTTAGAAATGAGGAAGGTTCTCCCGGCAGTAAACACACAGAAGCTGTCAATGAATCGGTCAGTCAGGATTCTCTCTGGGATAAAAGGGTTGGAAATAATTACTTTTTCTACCAAGTAACCTACTTAACAGACACACAGAAAGTACATACTGATGTTGTAGTTTACTTAAGAAACGAAGAAAACCAGGGATTAATTAGATCTCACTGAATGAGGCACTAAATTCCTTTTGTCTCCTTTAAATTAATCCAAGGTTCATAATACATTTTAACCTAATTCTATTTTCACTGCAGTGAGCTAATAATATATTTAGGATATATTACCTACAAATAACTTTGTTAAAAGAGTACATAACGACATCCAAGACAGACAAATAAATTAAGCTCCTTTAATTGCCTTCTGACCTCTGGACAATAAATGGTCACAGATAAATGAATCAGCAACTTAATATTTTATTACAGCCCTAGAACATAAGAAGTAACTTTGCCCACAAGATATTTGACTAATACTAATAATAGGTTATTTACTTAAAAGATTATAAACTTAACTTTAAAATTTTTAAGGAAGAGGAGCAAGACATTATATAATATTTGGTTATTACAAGCTACGTTAATTAAGAGGCCAGCTTCAGAAGAAGTCTCATCTGTACAGTTTTGATGAGTTGTGTGTTTTGGATTTATTCCTAATTACTGCCGTTCTAAGACACAATATGCTTTGGCTAGATAAAAGGTACTATAGGTAATTGATCCTACTTGTGCTTTGTGTAGAATTTTAGTTCATGATTTGTTGAAGAGATTTATATAATCGTTATCCATAAAAGAGAAATGTCACATGGACAGCCAGCAGGAACATATAGATTTTTGTATTTCTACTTAAGAAAAGTAAATGGAAAAAATAAATATTATTAAATGATCAGAGGTAAGTAGAAATAAGGATGTTTTTCATTTAAAATTATTTTGTTTTACAGTATATTTAACACAGATATTAGGGTTTCTTATGTCACATTTTAGGATTGGTAGTTTTACCGAATCTGTGAGAAATACATTCCACTTTTTTAATTTTTTTTTTTTTTTTTTTTTTGATTAGACATTGATATTTGACAAATAATGAGACAATGTACTTATTTTATTCACTAATCAATAAATTTTTGTGTACCCTTGATAGAGTAATAATCTTTAGACATGAAATCCAATCACTGTATTATACAGTCCTGCACACATGTACTGATGTTAAGTAGTGGTACAGAGCTTTGTACACAGTCAGGATGGTTATTTGTTAATGTTGCTTTCGGTTATTTTCTGTAATCTTTATTTTCTTTTTTTTCCAGCCATCAAGGGGTGATGCAAAACTTTCTCTAATGTCAGGATATACTATAATAAATAGACTTAGAGGCTTAGACAGGTTTTATTTTGTCATTTTGAACAGACAAGTGTAAACAAGATATTTCATTAAGTACAGCTCCTCTAGATGTTTTCATTTTTTAAAGTGCAGTTAAGCAACAATGTTAAAACATTGTGATGAAAAAAGTGTAAACATATGACTGTATAGTTACAGTTCCAACATTTCAGATTTTTTTATTGACCCGGTGGGTTTTAAGAGGTTTAACGGTCAGAAATGTCTGTTTTTAAAACATTTTGTGACCATAGATCCCGTAGGAGTTGTCGATCATAGATGCGGGTTTGATGTCTAGTTTGTATCGTTTTAAGCTGCATATTTTGTGAAATTGTCAAGAGCTGTTCTTGGATGGTGCCTTGGAGTGCCATCAAGGTGGTACTCTATCTTAGGATAGAGTTTTTGATAATGCTGATGAAAGACATTACTAGTTCTTTTTCATAGTTTATCTATTTCTATTTAGTCAAATATGTTTTATATTTTTTAGTTGCATTTTCATAAAGAAATATATTTTCTTTGTTTCCTTTAAATGTTGTTTTGAACATTTTAGTTCACATTTTAAATGAATCTTGATGCTAAATGTTTTGTTTTTTTAATGGATAAAAAATTACGAAATGCTGGAACTATGATAAATGGTGTAAATATAAAATAGCATGTATATATTTTAAAGGAAATGAGAAAACAATATGGGCATTGTCTAAGCTCTGGTTTTAGCTCTCTGTCTCCCTCTAGTGCTTAAATGCTAAAATGACAAGTATTTGACAACACTACCAAATAAAACAACTACCTATAGAATAGAATAGAATAGAATAGAATAGAATAGAATAGAATAGAATAGAATAGAATAGAATAGAATAGAATAGAATAGAATAGAATAGAATAGAATAGAATAGAATAGAATAGAATAGAGAATCCCTCTATTGACCCACAATGGGAAAATTGGTTGGTTACAGCAGCAGCAAAGGGTTATAGCAAATGTGGTCATACAATGAGGACCTTAAAAAGAGTATAAAAATAACAGAAAAAATGACAGAGTTAAGAAAATAAAGAAATAAAATAGTGTACTGTACATTGTATTTACAATATAGATACTGTGTATCTGGAGAATAAGTAATCAACAGCTTTGGGTATTATTTACAATAAAAAGCAGTATAAACTTTCTTTTAACGATCTACCATAAAATTATGATGCTGGGCATTGATATGTGACATGGGGGCTGCTGTGACATGTTCCCCATGTGGAGCTGACCCTGAAAGGCTATTTCAACATGAAATCTACTTTGTTTGATATCTGGAATGGGAATAAATTATTTTTATGCATTTAAAGTCGAATTATAAACAAGAGCAAATTTAAGGTATCTACAATCATATTTTAATTGTTCCAAATACCTTTTAAGATATATCAAAATAAATCACCTGATTCGTCATTTGAAGTGTCACACATCTTTCAATTAATTAATTATGTCTTGAAGTAAATTTTTTTGATGTTATAATTTTTAACAGTTAAAACAAAACCCCAGACATATCGCTCACTCTAATAGCACAGTATGTTAAAAAGCCTGTCATACCATACAGATAGTTAAATACTGTTTGAAAGTCTACTGTGAATTTATTTCCCTCAATAATCAGTTTTATTTACTTGCAAATCTGGAATGTTTTGGGGTTTTTTTGCCTTTCAGTTTATGTTGTGTATGAAACCAATTCGTCCCTATGTCTTTAGATTTTGGAGACAATTTTGAACCACATTTAGAAGCAACTGACATGGCTGTTAATGTAATGTATTACAGTTTAAATTAGAGAGAAATTGAATCCATTTTAAATTGTTGAATCTCTCTTTTTCCTATTATTAGATTAGTTTATGCTTTATTACAGAGAAAATGGGAGGACTTTTGTGAGGGACCAGACTCAACAAGGACAAAACAAATGTTCAAAGTAGAAAATAATAATTTAAAGATTTATTGTAAGAATAAATCAAATAATAAATAACAAATTTGGGCCCAATTTAACTGAGGTCAACTGAACTCTAAATCAACAAAAACAAAACTGACCTGCAACCAAAGAACAGACTGCCTAAATAGGTATGGAGTAACCCAAATGTACCACATGAGGGTGGTACAACATAACAAAAGAACCAATAAATACAAAATTAACTAAAGCGTTCTATGTAACAAATACAGCAAAACTAACTTTTACTTAGCGAAAACGATAATGAGTATTCAAGTGACAAAATTAACTAATTAAAAACCACTTGAAACAAACCTTCCCCGTCAGTCTTTCAAAAAACAAATTGCATGCTCCAGGTTTCCTCCTCCAGCTTGTCTGTATCAGCAGCACCTCAAACAAAAACAAAAAAGTGTAAATAAACCATTCAGAGAGACATTAACTAAAGTGTGCACCCATTAGAAAATACCTGTCTAAATGAAATAACTAACTTAAACATATAAACTGTAATATAATATAAAACAAGAAAAAAATGCTAACATGATGTGGTGGAGGGAGGATCATCCACCACAGCTTTATTTAGAAAGGTACATTCAGTTTTGTTGTCAACAGGCCTTGGTAGTTAATTTCAAGATATTTGTTGAGTTTGGGTCATAACTATGAGCCATATGCCACAATGAATTAGTGTATATAATGAAGATGCTTTTATTTTGTAGAATCCCTGGAGTCTTACTTTGAAAGTCTAGCAGGGTTGTGTGTCAAGTAAATGGTCCGACCCAACATTGGTATTGAGTCAATTTCCAATCGTTAAATCAGTCTTTTTCCCAGTTATTAGGTCAATAGATGCTTTATAACAGTATACATGGTAGACTTATATTTTGAAATTTACAAGGGTGTGTGTTTTGAAAAAGCAGCCAGAGGCTAATATAAACAAAGGGCTTGAGTTAAGTTCATAACGTTGAACCATTTGCTGTAATCAATAAAGGTGCATAATGTAAAGGCTTTTATTTTGTAAAGTTCCTGGAGTTTTATTTTGGTGTATGATAGGGTCAGACCCAGCAGTGATAATTAATGAATTTCTATCCCCTGACGGCTCTCTTCTGGTGTCCTTCCAGTAGAGCTCCTCTTGTACTCTCTTACAAACTCTGCCATCACAGAGTGATCTTCTCCAGCGGTGAGGCTGCTGACATTGTTGCAATTTTCTTTGCAAAGCTTTTTTTTTTGTGAAACATGGTGACAATGTTAGCCTTTCTTCTCCTGCCGTGTGATTCATCCACACAGCTTATGGGTCCAACAGAGACGCTCTGGTCATCTGAAAGAGTTAATTGGACAAATGTTTACACTCTATAGCAGAGCTATAGCAGAGCTATTCTATAGCAAACAGCTTAATGGCATTTTAACGCCACCAACTGGTAAGGAGTGGGTAACGAATGTCCACTAAGAAAAGAAGGAAAGAAAAGAAATGAAAAAGTAAAACTAAAGAAAAGAAGAAAAAAGAAATTAAAAGAAAATGTAAAGAAAAAAGGAAAAGAAAAAAAAAGATGTTAGGTTTATTCTTTATAGATGATGTGCATTGTGTTAGCCAGATTAGACCGAGTAGAAGGCCTTCCTTCACATGGTGGATGTGTGTACGGAGATCATCTAAATAGGACAGCCTTTGTGTCTTTAAAAACACACAGGATATGGGCACATCTTGGAGCAGGACTGATAAAGGAGAGCTATGTGTAATCCTGGGGCATAGAGGCAAGATGCATGACGGTCAGGGCATGGATGGCGTGTCAGTTTCTGATACATATAGCTGAGCATCCACCTGATGCAACACATGGACTCATGAGGTATAAGAAGGAGAAGATGACCTTGTTCGGGGCTCAACCTTTGCCGGACGCTCCCTGAGGTTTTTTGAGCCCACAGCTGTGCCGACTCCAAGCAATTTCTCTGTCCTGTAACGACCTGACCTGGAATAAACTCTGTTACTTTTTTTTTTCCTGTTTTATAGTCCTTCTTTATATGGTTTCACCCAGTTTGAGTTAAGAGTAGTAAATAACTTGCTCCCAGGTAAAGAACCGGTAGGGAAGTTCAGAGGCTCAGCAGCCTTCAGGGGGACATAACTTCCATATTTAACAAAGGAAAGAAAAGAAAGGAAAAGAAGAGTAAATAAAGGTGCGTTAAAATCCAAAAATTTTCTTCTTCTTACTGTTTATTTCAGCTGCAGTTGAGCATAAAGCTTAATGGCGTTTTAACGCCACTAACTGGTAACGAATGTCATATAAGAAAAGAAATTTCAATAAAATGGTGTTAAATCCAAAAACTTTCATCTCACTGTTTATTCTAGCAGCAGTTGAGAAACATCAGTTAAAACTCTGGTGTCTTTCTTTTGTGGATAACCCGGCATAATATTTCTACTAGTAGAAATAAATGTTGATTTGTATTTCTTTTCTTTTCTTGATGACATTTGTTACCCACTCCTTACCAGTCGGTGGTGGTAAATCGCCATTAAGCTGTTTATCAACTGCTGCTAGAATAAACAAGATGAAGATTTTTGGATTCGGCTTAATATCATTTTAGATGTGTATACAAAATGACAATAAAACTTGTCCAAGTCTAATCAGATGTAGACTGTTTTATATTAAGGGAACACGTTTTTAATATGGGATTAAGTTTAATATTTAGATGTGGTTGTGTGTTATACCGTATGGGGTTTCATAATGACGCTAGATTTGACACCATGTGTTCTTTGAAATAAGGGCTACAGGGGTCTGAAAAGATGTTCAATTTCCCGTTTCCTGCATATATTCACCTGAAACATCCGCACATTTATGAAATCTTGCGTTTCTCCCCTTAGGAAGGCTCAGCTGAGGAAATCAGGAAATTATTTTTTTCTACACTTTGCAGACTTTAAAGTCAAAATGTACAATAGCTACATTGACCATGAATACCAATTCCCCCATCTTGATTTGGTATTTAAGAACAAATTTCTCTAATTATTGTCCCTTATGATCATTGACTTAATTTACTTTAGGTATTTATCTTGCTTTTTTTAATACCCCATTTATAATAAGGTAATTACTACAAATGCAAATAAAGCTAATTAGTTTATTGTATTTTTGGGGGCAACAAACTTTATGCTTAGTTATTAGAGCGTTTACTTTCAGTCATATATGGATGCTCATCTGCGGCACCAGGAATTACTATTCTATAATAGTCATAATGTAAAAAGCACACATCGAGCAGAATATTAATTCCCGCACCTTGATTTAGTAATTAACCAGGAACCATTTGCTCCAATTGCCGTTTGTGTGGCCCTTAAAAGGGCCTTTGTTGAGCTTGCAGCAATGAGAAGGTTTACTTGGAGCTGGTGTACTTGGTAACAGCCTTGGTTCCCTCAGACACTGCGTGCTTGGCCAGCTCACCGGGCAGCAGGAGGCGCACAGCGGTCTGGATCTCCCTGGAGGTGATTGTGGAGCGCTTGTTGTAGTGAGCCAGGCGGGAAGCCTCGGAGGCGATGCGCTCAAAGATGTCGTTGACGAACGAATTCATGATGCTCATGGCCTTAGAAGAGATGCCGGTGTCGGGGTGGACCTGCTTCAGCACCTTGTAGACATAGATGGCGTAGCTCTCCTTCCTGGTCTTTCTCTTCTTCTTGCCTCCTTTGCCGGCGGTCTTGGTCACAGCTTTCTTTGAGCCCTTCTTGGGCGCAGACTTTGCGGGTTCAGGCATCCTGATGTGTTCCTGGAAACAGCAACAAATGAGTGAAAATATCAAAGGGACCAGTGGTATTTATAGTCTGCATGTAAAAGAGTCTGTGCTGTACCCTGTCTCTGATTGGTTTAAATGAACCGCTGATGGCGCTCGGTTGAGACGCTTGGTATTTCTGGGTGTGGGGGAAGGGCACTTTTTCATGCGTGAGAGGGGGGATGGGTTGAGACTTGTTATGCTTGTTAGTGTGTGTGCTCCTGTTGTAGCACCACAGTAAGAAACGTTTTGAGCTGTATGAGCATTTCATGTTTTATTTTTTATATTTGATTATCTATAAGACCCCTGCCTTTGTCATCAAGTAATAAAAATATTCAAAAACAGCCCATGCACAACGAAAAGCTCCAACAATCCAGAAGAGTTGAAATGGATCTCCAAGCTGCTAAAATATATCACAGCTCAAAGTCTGGTGCAAGCCTACAGATATGACAAAGACTCCTAGATAGGTGTTGAAAAGTCTTCAACAACTGAGAGAAAGTCTGGTTGCCTTCCAACTCTTTCGCCCCTTTTGTGGTTACTTGAGAATATGGTACAGTAATAAAAAGTTAACTTCTTTCAATGGATTAATGCATGTGCATTGGTTCAATTTTCATTCAAGTTTTGACTCAACAAAATCTAACAACCTAAGGAAGGAGTAAAAGTACAAATGCAGTGGACTATATTTATGTTTATATATATATATATATATATATACATATATATATATATATGTATATATATATATATATATATATATATATATGTATATATATATATATATATATATATATATATATATATATATATATATATATATATATATATAACTTGAGCATAGGGTATGGAGGACCAATCCTGCCACAATTAAAAATAAACAAAAATCTGTACTTAAATGAGAATTTATCATTTATGGGAAGGATGTAGCCCTACTACTCAATTAAGTAAATTGACTCACTGTACTTATCCAACTCCACTGCCAAAGCTGTAGCACTTCTATGTTCATTAGACTTAGACAAACTTTGACATTTTGTATGCACACTGTATAGAAAACGAAATTCCGTTGCATACAGCTTACAATAGTGAAAGAAGCGCTTGTCACTACTTAATCTTAATTCTTCTTATTTAATACTCAATTCCCGACAGCACGATCCGCCTTAATTGTGCGTGAACAGAATAGTAAGATCCAGATCGCCGAAAAAATATGTAATAAAGTTACTGAAAATACTTATTTATATACTTAAAACAGTAAAGAATGCAAAACTACATTATACAGACAATATTGAAGGCTTTTTCTGGGAAAAATTGATACGTTTCACATTCTCTCCATTGTATTGGATGATGTCATCAGAAATGCTCAGCGCAGTTACAGGAAGGTTTGAAAGGCTATTCAAGTGTATTGCTTTTTTTTTTTATTTTAGAATATGCAATATTTACCCAAATAAAAATATATTCTTAAGTAACCTCCTGCTGGAAAATGACAAAAGAATAGAAAAGTAAGACAACAAAGTATTGCCTACCCGGAAGTTATTCTGTTAACGCATGCGCAGGACCGATCGGGTAGTGACACAGCTTACAATGGTGAAATGAACTAGAACTAAAATAGAATAAAATAGCACATTTATTTCAAAGTAAGCAAAAGTGTGGAGATAAAAGGGCTTAACAAAAAGTTGCATAACTATATCAAGTGATTTATAGCCTTTTAAATGAAGCTCTAATTTTTAGGCATTTCATTTTTATTTATGTATTGTTAATTGTGGCAGGACTGGTCCTCCATACACACCACGCTCCAAAGACTGTTGTAACTAATGAACACATGTAACCTTTTGTGACAATCCTCAGGAAAACAAAAGAAAACATTTAATCCAGCTTTATAGCAAGTTCACAGCATTTGTTTAGCGCCCAATTTATTTGTATGCATGTTTCTAAGGTCCACATTTGCATGATCACTTTTTTTCCTTCTGTCTAGGTGCTGCTTTAACACTAGTCTACAGAGTAACAACAAAGGGATATTCTAACCTATGGTAAAACGTCAAATAGCGTTTAACATCTAAAAGCATTTTATAACCACAGCATATCCACTATTATGTTTCTGTTCAAAACAGCAGGAATCATCTTAAAGAGATGTGGGTGGCTCTTAAAAGAGCCGTTGTTTTAAGGGAATGTGTTCGAATTTAACCGCCGAAGCCGTAAAGAGTGCGGCCCTGCCTCTTCAGAGCATACACCACATCCATGGCGGTCACGGTCTTCCTCTTGGCGTGCTCGGTGTAAGTGACGGCATCACGGATGACGTTCTCCAAGAAAACCTTCAGGACACCGCGGGTCTCCTCGTAGATGAGACCAGAGATACGCTTGACGCCACCACGGCGAGCCAAACGGCGGATAGCTGGTTTGGTAATGCCCTGGATGTTATCACGGAGGACTTTGCGGTGGCGCTTAGCGCCTCCTTTCCCAAGTCCTTTTCCTCCTTTGCCTCTGCCGCTCATGTTGTCTTTGTCTTGCACACAGTGGAGATGGCGTACAGCCGATGAACGTCCAAATTTAAATACACATTACGGACGTAAGTGAAGACAGTGATCGTCTCTTTCCACCTTTAACCTACAAACCAAGTTTCCTCTTTAAGACACAAGTTTGAATATAAAGAGACACTCAATAAATTAAAAACAAAATCCAGATAATATAGGATCAGAATAAATCATTGCTAGCGTGTACAAATACACGAGCTATTAATGAGTATTAATAAAGTACGGAAGAGGATTAAGGCCACTGAAAACATTTTTAAAAAGTTAACTAATTTTTTTTTTTTTTTTCAGTTAAATATGGAAAAAAGTCCGAATTCTGACTTTAATCTCAGAGTTCTGAGAAAAAAAAGAGTCCGGATTTTAAGATTAAAGTCAGAATTCTGAGGAAAAAAAGAGTCAGAATTCTAAGATTAACCCTTTAAAGCCCGATCCAAGAATAAAACAAAACTGAAAATTACTTTTTTTTTGGTTTGAATTCCTTATTTGCCCTTTTAACAAAATATGTAAAAAGATAAAACAGAAATACATTTTTGATATTAATAATTAATGGCTATGCGATAAATCAAGATTATTTTTTGTGTAGTCTTCTACTGGCTGTTATCAGGTATATCTGATTGTGTACAATGAGATTTTGAGCAAAGTTTTTACCATTAAATTAAGCAAAAGGTGTCAGATGCAAAACATTTCAGAAACCATATCAAATACGATACATTTGGCATTATAGGCTTAAAGTCAGAATTCTGAGAGAAATAGTCAAAATTCTGAGTTTAAAGTCAGAATTCTGAGGAAAAACCCCAGAATTCTGAGATTAAAGACAGAATTCTGAAAAAAAAGTCAGAATTCTAAGATTAAAGTCAGAATTCTGAGAAAAAAAGTCAGAATTGTGACTTTTTCCCCTGATTTAACTGAAATAAAAATTAAAAATCAGTGTTCAACTTTTTTGTATCTTTTCAGTGGCCCTAATCCTCTTCTGTAATAAAGCAATTGAAGTTCATACAAAAGGTTTTTGGCTGATATCAAGTTTCCAATGATCTATTAGATGTCTCGTAAGGTTTAGTATACTTGCATGGCACTCTGCTTTATGTAGGGAGTTTAAGTCAATTCCAGTTAATATTGTGTAGATTTTTTGGAATTTACATCGACGTGTAAATTTTGATTTTCTACGTGCTGGCGAGGTTGTTTTTAATTGAACAAAAAAATATGAGTAAAAACACTTGAGCTCTTGTAAAATAACCTATTACAAACATAAATAACAGCATCTCATACACACTTAATTCTACAAAAAGGAAAAGAACAAAACAGCAAAAAACTAGTGATGTTATGAGATGAGGCTTCGAGGCATGCCTCATTTGGTGGAGAAACTATTATGTTTAAATAAACTTTCATTTTCTCCTTATTGCCCAATTTGCACGAACTCCATCACCATCTGCTTGACCTTTTTTTCACAACACATGGCAGAAACTGCAACTCAAATTGTTCTCTTCTACATTTTACAAATACTATAAGATAAATCTAAAATATATTATACAGACCAAACCTTAATTTAAAAGAACTTACAGGGAGGAAAAAAATATATAGCAAAAATAATCAGTTATATATGTGTGGTATGTAAGCTTCAGGTATCATCCATATCGTTATTTTAACGTCAACTTATTTGTGCATATTTTTTAACAGTATGTCTGGCTCTTTAGGGAGATTTGGGTGGCTCTTAAAAGAGCCGTTGGGTTGGTTTAGTAGGCCTGCAGTTTTACTTCTTTGCTGGCTTCTCGGTTTTCTTGGGCAGCAGCACAGCCTGGATGTTAGGAAGAACACCACCCTGAGCGATGGTAACTCCGCCGAGCAGTTTGTTCAGCTCCTCGTCATTGCGGACAGCCAGCTGCAGATGGCGGGGGATGATTCTGGTCTTCTTGTTATCACGGGCAGCGTTTCCGGCCAACTCCAGGATCTCAGCAGTGAGGTATTCCAGCACTGCAGCGAGGTAGACGGGAGCTCCAGCGCCGACGCGCTCAGCGTAGTTGCCCTTCCTCAGGAGCCTGTGAACACGGCCGACAGGAAACTGCAGCCCAGCACGAGATGAGCGGGTCTTGGCCTTAGCCCTGGCTTTGCCTCCGGTCTTTCCACGTCCAGACATGATTCTAATTAAGTTTACTTTCACAAGTAACAGTCAAGACGCACATTGGGAGTATATATACAGCCTATCGTGGAGCTATGCTTTCTGATTGGTCACATCTAACAACAAATCCAGTCGTCCAATCAAGGCAGTCGCCCTTTTTCCGCCGTCTGCTTCTGCCAATTACCGCTGATTGCAGCTTGCAGATCGGGGCGTGGTTCGAGGTTGAGGGCGTGGCTCCAGACGCCAGTTGATGGCGGAAACTATTCAACCCATTGACAGACAGCAATACAGATTCTCTACATAAAATAACATTATCTGAATTTGATAGATAATAAAATATGATAATCAAATTATTTATATTATACTCATCCCCTCTCTTCCAGTCAGTACTTTAATTCATTCTACCAATACATCTACACATATATAAAACTCTAATTTTTTTTTTTCCTTTTCCCCAGAACAGATACAATAACATATATGTCTTTATAGAAAAACATTTACATATGGTTGTACTAGAGAAATTCTGTATCTCAGAACTATGCACATGTCGGGAATTACAGGGATCTGTACCCAAATCTAAACGCTGTTAAACTGTTTAGTGAACAATAATTTTAATTTTTACTGGTAATCATGTCTTGGCAAAAGCCCTCATATGAGGTAAAAAGGAACACCAATGGATTCCTTATCATTTTCATCTGGATCCAGTATCAGATGGAGGATTTTCACTGCCCCTATGCAATTTTCTATTGGAAATAGAAGACTGGAGATGACTTGAGGAAGAGAAAGTTTCCCCTTTAATGTTGTGGTGCCACACCACCTTGCTGCACCCATGGTCTCTTGCAGCAAAGTATCCTAATCAAAAAAGAAAATAGATAAAGAATCGGAGAAGGCAGAAAACAGTGAAATAGGACAAGTCCATAGCAGACATGGTCTCATCTTTCTCTAAAGACCAAAAAAGATTATGGCTGTTATCAGCACAATGATATTATAAGGTGTGTTGAAAAATATATATGTATATTTTAAAATAATATATATTAATTTTTTAAGCACACGTTTAATGAAAACTGATCACTGCAAAACAATGTGACAACCCACCTCTAACCATTTTTAAGGAAGCGTTTAAAACGATGCTGCTTTGAACAACACCTGGTAGTTCAAAGAAAATAGTAGGCTACCTGTTTTATGATAAACATGTTTTTTTACAATAAAATATTGAGTTTCCACATGCTGTTGAGGTTCTATTTATTTGAGCAAACACAGCTGCGAGTAAAATGACTTGAGCTTTTGAAAAATAATCTATAATCTATAAAAAACACGGCATCTCCTATAATTCAATTTACAAAGAGAAAAAGTAGCAACAAAACAGAAAAAATGCACATAAATATAATTATTGAAAAAAAAAATATTTATAAAACCTTAAGGTAATTGATAAAGGGACATTGTTAAACATTTTTTGCATTATTGTTCTGTATTTTTCTCAAATATCTCCTTAACAAGAATAACTAACCTTTACGCAAAGAATTATGTATTTTGCTGCAATATTCTCATCATTGGCCATTTAAAATTCTTTATAAGAAAAGTGTAGGTTGAAATGACAAAAGAGCCTGCATCTACAGATCTATGCATTTGGAATTACTGTACTAAAAAAATGTTTCTAGACGCATTTGCTGCTGATGAAAGCTCATCTTGACAACTCTGGTTTGAGGCATTCTCATTTGAGGGAAAAAAAAAAAAAAAAAAAAAAACACTGCCTCTTCATGGAAGCCTTACGGGCTAAATATATATATTTTTTACTTTTTTTTTATTGTATCCAGGGAGTGTGTAGGCTAATGTGGTGAAGCCGTCTGTGCCATTTGTTTTCAATTCCATCTATAAATAGCGTGCTATATAGAGAGAAATACAGGATCGCGGAGCTCAGAAGAAATATTTATGTGGCTCTTAAAAGAGCCGTTGGGTTTTCTTGGATCAGCTGTACTTATGCTCTCTCTCCACGGATGCGGCGGGCCAGCTGGATGTCTTTGGGCATGATGGTGACCCTCTTAGCGTGGATGGCGCACAGGTTGGTGTCCTCAAACAGACCAACCAGGTAAGCCTCGCTGGCCTCCTGCAGAGCCATGACGGCGGAGCTCTGGAAGCGCAGATCGGTCTTGAAATCCTGAGCGATCTCTCTGACCAGACGCTGGAAGGGCAGCTTGCGGATGAGCAGCTCAGTGGATTTCTGGTAACGGCGGATCTCTCGGAGAGCCACTGTACCAGGCCTGTAACGGTGGGGCTTCTTCACTCCACCAGTAGCCGGAGCGCTCTTACGGGCAGCTTTGGTAGCCAGCTGCTTCCTGGGAGCCTTTCCTCCGGTGGACTTACGGGCGGTCTGCTTAGTTCTTGCCATTTTAGACTAGCTGTTTGCCTTTCGCTCAAAGACGAAGATATAAACTCGTAGGAGAAACAGCGGCTTTATAAAGACACGTGCGACGTAAGGTGGCCTCTGATTGGACCAAATTAAACACGTGGTACAGTCCGTCCATCTCAGCAATTGGTTGAGTTTCACATTTTAAAATAAAGCGCGAGATGTCTAACAAAGAAAGAAAAATGCGGGGAGTGTCAAAGCGGAAACTATTCAATATTAGATTCAACAATATCAAAAAATATTATTTTATGTGTAGTTTACTTTCAAGAATCCTCTGCACATCATTTATTCATGTTTATTTGTTTGGGGATTGTTCACTAGGCTGGTCTGAGTTTGAAATAAATATGGGTTACAATTACTTATATCCATCTTTTCTCCTAATTAAACCAATCTCCTTCCAGTTTGAAAAAATTAAATAAAAAGCAAGCTAAGAGAATGAGTTATATTTTAAAAAGTGTGATATTTGCTTTAGCGAAGTGTTTGATCAGATCAGTTAATAATGAA